GACAGCGATACGTGGCACGTGTCCCGTTTTCTGGTGGGGCAAATTGAGGCTCACCGAGGTTGATGAGGGACAGAATGAGAAATAAGTCCCAGACCCAGATCTTGCCAGTGCTGCTGCCATTTTCTTCCTACCACATCATGTCAACACACTTTTCTTTTGAAAAATGAGGGAATGACAGTTGACAACCTATGCGGTCTCTTGTCACTCTTGTGTTTTGTCAGTACGACTCTGAAATACGAAAGCTGGCTTTTCAGGCTCCGGGGAGTGTCTTGGTCAGCGTGGTTTCGAAGGCTGCGTCCCACAACCAGGCTAGTCCATCCTGAGAAAATTAGTCGTACCCTGAAGTCAGAGGCAGAAGGAGGTGACTTAGCGTTCTTTGTTTTTACTGCATCTAAATACGTCTTGATGAGTGGTCCCTGAGTAAATGATGGGAACAAGACAACGACCATTCAAAGACACTTAGAGATCCTGATCCTTTTTGCAGCAGTTTCAGAGATAGGAGCAGAATTAAGAAATCAAAACGTTTTTGAAGAAACTCTTGGCAGTTGAGTTTCATGCTATTAAAATAAGACGTTGCTAAACTAAAGCTGCCTCCAACGGCCACACGGCTCCTGAGGCTCGTCTGCACAAAAGTAGCAGGGTTCTTCTGGGGGACGTTGGGAGACCCATAAACCCCCTCTCATTAAAACAGGATTACAGAAATGTATGTTCCATGGGAGAAAGTCAATTTTTAAATATAGGGTTTTTTTTTTTTTTTACTTCTAAATAGAGTAAAACTGTTTCCCTTTATTTTAAAATGTAAAGCGCATATTCCTGAAAGCAACATGACCGAAGCGCTCTTGTCCTAAACGTCTACTATTTATTTGTTTTGCCATTATCGGGTGTCTCAGCAGTGTCTCGTCATGCCTCGTGTCACACGAAAGCAAACACAGTCACGTTACATTAATGAGCAGTCTGAGATCATGGAGCTGACTGGCTATAATTCTCTGCCCCCTTGCTATTAAAACATGACTCTAAATCCTAGCCAGCTCTGGAACAAAAGGCCCCACAATTAGGATATAGTAACAGAGTTCATGGTATACACAATTTGATTGCTTCAATGCTCTTTGTCGATCCATTTTCATTTTACCTGCTATTTGTATGTGGTAGTAAAAAGTCAAGTGGAAAATCCACTCTTTGGTATTTTAGGCACAATATTCATTTACCCAACATGTTTGGCAGGATAAAGTAAATATAGGGGAAAGCGCTCTATAATCCTGGTGTTTGAAGTCAGAGCTAAGCCCGCCCTGCAGTGTGATTGCAATCACAGACCTTTTCCATATGGATTCATGTTTCCAGTGAGACCTGGTAATGATCTCCATCTAAAGGGATGATGAGTCATCCCCAATACCACCTGATGGTTAGCCAGACTAGTCTTTACCAGATAGTAGGATGTCAACAAGCACTAACTATTTGGAGCAGAAATAAACGTTCTGTTTGGGCTGTTAGTTATCCAAAGGGGCCAGTACAGACTCTGAGGAAAAGCAGAGCTACGTGCCCAATATATTAAGCAAAACAGCCCCAGTGACAGTGGGTCCGCACGACGCTGTCTTCCTGGCGGGGAGCAGCCATCGCCGAGGTCTGCGCGCACCTCCGTCCTGCCCGTGAGCTGGCACGGTTAGAGCTTAGAGGCTGCACGGAGCAACCGTCCGCAGCCGTACGACTTCCTTCAGTGCCAGCACCTTTCATTCTTTCCAACAAGTGTTTGGAGGAACGTGTTGACGCTTATTAACCTGTTTCTTGTCTTACAAATGTGCTTACGCCTGACTGGTGGCAAACCCGCCTACCTGACAGCCCTCCGTGTAATCGACACGGTGGGACCGGCTGCTACACTGAACAGATCTGCGCGGAGTTGTTATTCTTTGCAATTACCTTCATTAACGGAAAGCATGTGTCAATCAACTCCGAACTTTAAACAAACGAGTGGGTTGCCAGAAAAATGCATTTCTGTTTCCTCTGCGCGCATGTGTGCTTGAAGATGAGTATATGTGGAGATAGGTAGGTACACTGTGTTAGAAACATGTTTTTGTAATTTTCTGAATATATGGTTTCCCCTGGTTTGCATTTGATAACTTTAAATGCAAATAAAGTGCACAACAACTCCAGAGAATTGTGTCAACAGAGTAAGTTTAATAAATAGCTAATTTATGTACTAGTGGGAACAGATAGTTTTAAACTAAGGCACACTCCTTCCTGAACTTCTGCAGTAACAGTACACATGTACGTTGATTTTAATCACCACTGCTCACAGAGGATATAAATTTGAAAACACGTTTGCCCTCCTGCTCTATCATAGTGTAAATGGTCCACGGCGTTGTAACTGTCTTGATCTGATCAGACTTCACTTTGGTCCGGAATCTGCAGCCAAAGCAGACAACATTCCGGGAAAGCATTGGGAACTTCTACGGGTTCTGAACTCAAGGAGCCCTCTCATTCCACCCTTCACCGATGGTTCTGGACCCATCCCTTCTCTCCTTGCAGCAGACGCCCCTCTGCATTTGGTCATTCGCTCGACCGACCCACATGGATGGAATCACTGTGTGTGCACAGCGCTGCGGGGGAGTCACCAAACGGACAAGATGCTCCAAGGAGGACCGAGGGAAGGAAAGAGGAGAAAAGCTGCAGAACTCGCCGCATTTCCATTTCCAGCCTGTGCCTTAGGCAAACTCCTTTTCCGCTTCCCAACAGTAGCCTTTTCCCTCCACCAGGGGGTGTCCAGGGATAGAGAGAAAAGACAAGGTGGGGGAGGCAGCTTCGCAAACTCCTCGGCAACCGCCTTCCCTCCCAAGGGCCGGGATGACGACGGAGGAAGGTGAGCATCTCAAAAGGTCTGGGGACCTCAGTTCATCCTCAACACAGGAGCCAGAGGGTCCTTGTGGACTGTCCTTCCTCAGCCTCCAGCTCTCCGGCGCTGCCCAGCTCCCCAAGTGAGGGCCGAGACGCTGCTCCCTGCCCTCCGCCCCCCCTCCCCTCCTCTCCTCCTGCTCGCCCCATCCCTCAGGCCGCTCCAGCCCCCACCTGCACCCCCCTCAGCCTGGCCCGGGCTGCTCTCTCCACCTGGCACTCCCTTCTCCAGATACGCTCCCGGGCCTCCCCTTCAAGTCCTTGCATATGTCACCTTCTCCATGAGACCCACTCTGATGGTGCTTTCAAAAATCGCAGCCCGCTCACTCCGTGCACAGGCAGTCCTGCCCCTTTCAAACAGCCCTGCAGACATTCTAAGGCACTACATGACTTCTTTCCTGTATTTACTGTGTGTCCCCTCACGAGGGGTAAGTTCTGAGGGGTCGGGGCCTCTGCTTGTTTGACCGTGTGCATCGTGTGCATCCCCAGCTCCTCGCTTGCAACCTAGTGTCTGTTAAATTGTTTTTGAATAGATGAGCATTTCCAGATCCCTGTGACCCAGCACATCAGCGGTGGCGTCTTTGGAATGTCCTTCACTTCCGGCCCACTCACTGCACCGGGAGCTCACGATGGGAGAGACGGGCGAACGGTGTGCTCCGAGCCGGGGCTCAGCTTTAGTGAAGTCCTTCCTCCCGTCTCCCCGACCTGTGAGCTCGGGGAACAAACGCCTCCTCTCCAGGTGCCGGCGGTTTTCATTCCTAAATGGAGACGAGGGCGACACGAAGCGCCTCAGAGGGCTGTGGCGGCTTCCCCGGGGGGCTCAGAAGACGAGTGATGCTCGCAACCTCTCAGAGGGGCCGTGGGGGACGCCCCGGGGGCTCTGGCAAAAGAGAAGCCTGTGGTGAAACTGAGGGCTAGTCCAGAAACTCTCGGTTCCAGGCGTCCTCGGAGGTGCAATGATGGACGCAGGTGAAGAAGCTTCTGGAACACTTTGAGAAAATTTGCTCTGGGGCGCTGACTTGGAAAAGAGGTGCTCACGGGGGTGGGCTGAGAGTGGGGACATTCAGAGGGAGAAAGTCTTCGAAAGTTGTGGCATTTAACCTGGAACGGAGGGGGACCCACAAAGTCCATCGTGGCCCTGGTGTGGGGCTGAGCGTATGGGGCTGGGTGGGCGCTGAGCAGGGCTGTCTTTCGGGACTGGACTCGATCCTGTACCTCAGGCAGGGTCCTTACGACACACAGCCCTGATCGTCTCCGTAAGGAGGGCTCAGAGTTCCACGCGGACCTGGTAGTGGAGGCTGTGAAAATGAGCCAGACAAGTAGAGAAAACTGTTCATTACTGGGAAGGAAGAGGCGCCATTAAATTGAGGGGGAGAGGGGAAAAGCGTTTATAAGATGCCCAAGCGGGGCATGCAAAGGTCTGGACTTTCCATCATCAAGGAAAACATTTCTGGAGGTGACGGGTCCTGTCTCTTTGTGTTACATGCGATTGCTCTGCCCATAATAGTCCAGTTAGCACACTCTCTTTGAGCCCACATGATTTTTAAAAAATATGAATGTCTCAGCATTCATAGTTTTCTGCAGCTTTGTTGAGACGTAATTCACATCCCATGCAATTCGGCCATTTAAATTGTACAGTTCAGTGGGTGTTGGTGCATTTGTGCAACCGTCACCACAATCAACTTTAGAACATTTTTATCACCACAAGAGAACTGTACCCACTAGCCCTCACTCCCGGTTCCTCCCTCCTCCCAGCCTCTAGCAATCACTTACCTCCTTTCTGTCTACAGATCTGCCTGTTCTGGACATCTCGTAGGAACGGAATTAAACAATATGTAGACACTTGTGACTGACTTCTTTCACTTAGCATGTGTCTTCAAGGTTCATCCAAGTTGTAGCAAGTATCAGTGTTTCATTCTTTTTTAGGGGTGAATAATATTCCATCATATGGACGTACCACATTTTGTTTATCCGTTCATCAGTTGACGGACATTTGGATTGTTTCCAGTTTTTGGCTATTATGAATAAGACTGCCATGCACGTTGGTCTACAAGTTTCTGTGTGGATATATACTTTTATTTCTCTTAGGTATTTATCTAGGAGTAGAATTGCTGGGCCATATGGTGACTCCGTGTTTAACCTTTTGAGGAACTACCAGGCTATTTTTCAAAGCACATTTGCAGTAAAGCAAGACATTTTATAAATGCTCTGGCCTTTCAATGGCAAGAACTACTTTTCATCCTACCCTTCCCCTAAGAGCTGGTCCGTGCAGCCTGAAGATGCCAGGGGGGCCGGCCTGCCCCGGGGGGCCAAGGGCAGGTGTCTGGGGGGCCTGATGGAAGAGAGTGGAAGGGAAGAGGACAAGGAGGAGAAAGAAAGAAAAGAAAGGGCAGCTGAGGCCAGGGTTATGAGGGCTGAGCTGCCTTTTAGGGGCTACCAACTCCCAAACCTAAAATTTATTAATATATGTGGATTATGAGTTTTCCGAGTAATTCTCTCAAGTGCTCAAGAGGGGGTGTGTCTGAGCTCCACGTAGAAGGCTGAGCATCGAGTGCTCGGCTGCAGCCTGCTCACAGGGCGACTCGGGTCCCGTGCTGAAGGGCAAGGGGGCAGGAACTCACCTCCCCCATGGAGCGTGTCTCCTCCCCGACACGCACAGGAATCCCCGGGGAGCTTTGAAAAACCACGGAAGCCGGGGCCTCGGGCCAGGATTCTGCGGGTGCTGGCCCGGGGTTGGGCCTGGGTGCAGGCATATTTCAAAGGCTCCCCAGGTACTTTCTATGTGCAGCCAGGGTTGGGAACCTCTGATGCAGACACACCGTTTTTATATTTCAACAAACATTCTTAAGATAAACACACTGCCAGGATGATCTTCCGACGCGCCATAGAACGTTTTCAGAAGCGCTTCAGAGCCCCGATTTTTGGTGCTCCTAAAAAGTGCTCGTGAGTAAGGGATTTTGAGTGCAGTATTAATTGGCCTCCTTAACTGGTCAGAAGTCACTCTCTTTTGGGATTGGGGAGCCCGTCTGTTGGGACCCATGAAAATCTCCAGTGGAGCTGACCCAGGTGAGTGTGAAATCAACGTGCTTCCAGAGACCCTCCAGCCTAGAATTGTTCCCGGATCCGAAATTTGAGTAATGCTCTCTCCATCATTCATACATCCCTTCAGTATGTATTTTCTGGCAGCTTCTAGGTGCCCCGTCATGACCTGGATCAGCGCTGTGGAGTCAGGACACTGCATCTCTGAGCTCTGGGACTTCAGTCTCCGTGAGCTCCGTGACCTTCCCACCGCCACCCGAGGCCGGGTCACCTTCTTCTCCAGCCCAGACCTCTGCAGGTGCCTCCTGAAGGGACTCCTTGCCTCTGCTCTTAGGCCTCTACAACCCCTTCCCCTCACAGCCCGAGGGATCTCTTTAAAAGTCGATAAATCACCTGCCACCATTCCCTAGCTCAAAGCTGTCCAATGGCTTCTCATCGGACTCAGAATAAAGTTCAAGCTCCTCACGCCTCACAAGACCTCACCTGTGACCCCCTCTCCATTCTCATGGCCTTCCTGCTCATTTCTTCCTTGGGGTCTTCACACGTGTCATTCCCTCCCCTTGCACAGTCCTTTCCCCAGATCATCAGTGGGTGCTTTCCTCTGCTGTGGCCCTTGGGAGACGACAGGTCTCTCCAAAGCAAGGACCCTGTGCCACTCATCTGTGTGTCCTGCACAGCATCCATAAGGTGTAGTGCATTCAGGAGGTACTCAGTAAGACACTTGATGTCATCAATGGACAGAACTATAAAGAAAGCCACCTGCCAGGAAAATCCCTGCCCAAAGTTCTCCAGAACAGGTAACTCAAAAGAGCCAAATCAGCATATCCAGGCCTGACGGGGTTCTCCCGCGGCTCAGAGAGCTGCAAAGATTTTACGCTTGTGCAAGCAGATCTCTGGAAGAAGTAATTTTCTCTTTAGGAGAGTGGCAGCGCACAGGATCAGCAGTAAATTCCCAGTATTTTACAAGAAGATGAAAAGTGGAAATCATATGAAAAGTAGTAATCATACACCAGCAGCACTGACCTCTGAGCGTTAATGGTACGGTGCCATAATGCGGCCATAATTTCTCTCTCTCTCTCTGTGTCTCTGGCTCTCTCAACTATGGGAAATGCTGAGTGGCAGGTCTACACAGCACGAAGGAAACCAGCGGTAGTATAGACAGGTACGTTTGGCCATAACACAGTCTGTTTCCTGTATTTCTTCTCCCGTTTCAGTAATATGGGCTTTGCCTCTGTATAAATAACGTGGACAATAGTGTGGTACTATAAAGACATGGTCCCTGGTGGCTGGGGTCCCTGGGTCACACCCTCAGGTGAAGATGGCGCCCAGTATGGAAGATAGACACCATTCCAATCTGTTTTCTTCTATCTTTGCATTTAATGGGTTTTCTGAAATGTTCTTGCCCCATAAGCATTCATTCTGCTTACTGTTTCGGAGTCGCTTCTCCTCATTCAAAAGTTGTTTATGACCGTCCTCAGTGTACGGTCATATTTGGAAATATATGGAATAAAGAAAAACCCGCCACTCATAGTTCCACCACCCAGAGAAAAGTCTTCCTAATTTCTAGATTCCTGCGTGGGAAAACTTTAAAATATTTCAACTTTCTTTTCCCCCATGATTATGAAAGCACTACATCTTCATCACAGGAATTTTGGAAAGCGCAGAAAACGGTAAAGCAGCAGAGGGAGAAACAGCCCATGAGGGAGAAAGACTTTTCGATAATGAGTATTTCACCGTGGTGCACATGGCAAGCCAAAGCATCGGGCTGATGGTGGAAAAATTCCGAATAAACAAATGCAAAACAAAGATGTTCCCCTTGGCCTGAAACCGGCAACACTCGGAGCCTCTCAGCATTGGTTCTAGCCCAGCTCTGACACTCACCAGCCTGAAGCCTATTATTCTGTTTATCCTGGGTTTGTGTTTTTGTTTTTTAAAGTGAAATCAATGGCTTACCTCTCAGGAGAATTGAGAGCATAAAATGAGGCAGTAAACACAAACGAATATTGCTCTTATTTATAGTAATATTCCGGGGCCGGTTCCCACGCATCCTTCAGGTCTGTTAGTGCAGCCCTCCCTTGGGGAGGCCTCCCTGGACCCCCAGGCTGGGTGAGGTGCCCCCACTAGGAGCTTCCACAGCTACCGGTCCCCAGCAGGTTGACTGGCGCTCAGTGTTCTTCGCTGGCTAAGCCAGTGGAGGGCTGGCTGGTTGGTCCCGTGTCCTATCCCAGCACCCTGCACACTGCTGGCACCGCGGAGGCTCCATAAGTCTTCGTTGGCTGAATGAGTGAGCACTGCTATTGAGTCATTGCCGCAAAGAACGCAATAGTTGCTGGTTTGCTTTTTATATAACGAAACCAGGAATTGAGCCATAAAGAGCCAAAGAAATAAAACTCAGGAGACTCCAGCCGCTTAAGGCAGATTTGCATCCTGGATGGATGCCAACGTCCTCTGTAAAACCGCCACCCTGGGCATTCACTGGGTGTGAATTTTGTGCCGATGGAAGAAAATCTATTAAAACTTCATAACTACGACTTTTCCCCCCCAGGCCAGCTCCTTGAGGCCAGAGGTAACAAAGGGAAGACTGGGGAAGCACGAGGCCTGGGAAGCCCTGGATTCCAGTCTAGCCTGGCCCGGCCCAGCTGTGGGGTGCTGGGCACAGGTCACTGCTCCCCAGCTCTGCTTGCCTGTCTGTAAAATGAGGTGGTGGGGAGGTTGCTGACCCTTTGACTTATATTGACCTGAAACGTAAAAACGTGTGAGGCCAGCAAGGAACCTTTCTGTCACAATATCTGGCAAGAATGAATCCATTTAAACCAAAAAATGTGGAATAGTAGAATTTGTGCCGTGTGCACGGCTAAGTCTGTGTGGTCAGTGTGTGCGCAGAGGGCTAGACCAAGAGGAGAAGCCACACCAAGACTCCACGGGGCTGGTGAGGACGTGTGCCATACTAATGATAAACAGATCCACACAAGTATGTGTGTGTGCGTGTGGCAGGGGAGTGGAGTGGAGGGTGGGTTGGGGATCATAGGTAAATTTTCATTTGTTATTTTTGGTAATTTTCATAGGGCGCAATATGTTTCTCATTGTGACATATCTGTAGCATGATTGACAGGCTATTGCCACCATCTCCCAAGGTCTCACAATTGGTCCCAGCGCAAGGACATTCTCTATTAAAATTGTAAAACTATCTCTAAGCATGTTATTTTGTTGCTAAGCTCTTGGCCTTATTTCATTTTAAATGACTCTAATGAAGTACCTAACATGTTTAACTATTACCCTGATATTGTATTTAATATGTACCTAATGTATATTAAAAGCGCATAATATCAAATACCTCCAACTTTACATTATAGCGTTAATGACCCTGTGTTCTGAAACTAGTAGTGTGCTTACTGAATTATATAAGGGATATTTTCAGGAAAGAAATTGTTTAAGATTTGGACGGGTGAAAAAGTAGTTTTTGTTTTCTTTAATAAAATATTTTTCATGAAAAAAGTTTCGTTCACGTGTAGTTACTGCAGGATGAGAACTTGTGGGCTATTCTGGCACTATTCTTCCCCCCCCCCCCCCCCCCCCCGTCTCTACTTTATCACTCTGTGTTCATTTAGTAGCGAAAAGTATCCTCCTCAGCTGAGGGAGGATGTTTCCGAGGAAGGTGCTGCTTATCTAATAATAAAAAGGATGCTTGACTCTTCCTACCGTGCCGTCCTTCAACATCACTGCATATTTTGAGATGAGAGTGATCTATTACACATGGAAACTCTTCACTATTACTTTACAAACTTTTAAAAAATAGATGTTTCAAATCAAGAAAGAAATGTGTGGTAGACTAGTAATTTCATCAGAGCATAGAAGAAAAAAAAAAACTCTACTCGCTTATAACAATGTTTAAATTGTATAGAGAAATAGCTTTGTCCTTTGTTTGAAGAGAACAATGGCACAAGCCTCTGAGGGAGGATGATTTGTCTCTCGCTAAACCGCCCTAACTGTTTATGACAGCAAAAGGACAGGTATCATTAACCTTAGGTGTTGACAATTGAGAATTCATGGGAATGAGTTAGAAAAACGGTGGACGGGTCCCACCCCTGAGTTTGTGGAGAGCAGATGGATTCTGTGAGCCATTGTCACCGACTCCTATGTTACCAGAAAAGAGTCCCCTCAAATTTTCACAGAGGGGGGTTGGTTTCTTGTCCCTTCCTTCTGAAGTTGAAGTGAAAATTCTTTTCAGGAAAAATGGATCTATATTCCAATCAAAGTATTTCCCCAGGTCCTACAACCAAGTTTATTTGTAAATCCATAATTTACTGAACTGTTTTGCCTTCCTTTGTAAGCGATTCTTGTATCAATTAGTGATGGATTCCTGATTCATTTATTTCGGCTGCTGTTCTTGGATTTTAAAAGCTTGCATTCCTCAAGATCACTCTCTTCACAAATACCGTCAATAAATTTCAGCCCAGGACGACAGCTCCAGCTCTCTTCTCCTTTACGGGGTGCTGCTGTCGGCATTCGGAAGCAAATAAGAATTCGGTGACCCCAAGAAAGTATTGGATCAAAACCTACCAATAAAAAATGAAGCTTTCCCAGAGAAACCACTCTGCAGCTATCCTTCACTTCAGAGGCACATGGCAACAACAGGAATTTGGGCTAAGATCTGGTCTCAGGGTGGCACACATTCATTCACGTTTCAAAATCTTTTACATATGCTTATCTTCTTATGCGCATATGGCTGGACTACATTAGATCTACTTAAAATCTATTGAGAGTATTGATTTCTCTTCTTCAGAAAAACCAACACAGTGAAATAGTCTCCCTCCTCTTATAAAGCCCATTAGAGAAAACCAGAATTGTGTTGACATCAAGAAGAACGCTTCCTAATGTACGTGACAGATCGCTGTGGTTCAGGAGACCCGACTCTCTTTCAAATCTAATTAACTGACGTTGTCACACTTGTGAGCTAGTTCCGGCCCCCGTTTGCACAGCAATCACACCTCTATCAACATCAACTCCCTATTTCGTAACCAGAGGTGGCTGAGAACAGGACTAATTAACATATAACTCTCTTAATGATATTTTACCAAAGTAGCACTATTACATCCAATAATTACACGAAGTGTTTGATTTTCATTTGGGCAGTTTTGTAAAAGATAATCTTCAATAACTATGAGACTGGAGTTTAAGAGTGTACGATTTAGCTGAAGTGTTTTAGTAAAACTCGGTATATGAGTCAGAGACCCTGAACTCCCTTAATAGCTGTTATGATTTTGACGTCTTCTTATCTTGAAGAAATTGCCGAAAAGTTGAACAAAACTAATGTGGACGGCTATAATTGAACTGGACAATATCTATATGGGGAAGAGGTGAAGTCACTATATTTAGAAACGAACGCTTGCATCCCGTCCCAACTGCATATTCAGGTTAAATGTGTGCACATCCTGGGAGCCGGAACATCTGTTTCTAGCTTGTTGTTCCTCTTGGCTGCTTTTCAATTGGATTTCCTCGAGCAGGTCCCAGGCTTGTCACCGCAGCCAGGGTCTGTTAACCATCACCACCGGTCCTACATTAAGTAGGAGGTTCAGGGCTGAGCTAATAACTTGCCTGCCTTTCTGACTGATCGCAGTGATGCTCTCCGGGGCCGCTTATCATCAGCCTCCTCGGGGAGGGTGCTCTTCTTTGTCTGTACCTCTGGGGAGAATTGGTTTTGTTTCTCCTTGTTCCTGGAGTTATACGTGAAAAGACAGAGCTCTCGCTGTTGCTTCTATGAAGCGGCCGGGCGAGGCTGTGCCTGTGTGCCCTTTCTGCAGGGACTCTAAGTATTTTGTGTGCGTGATGGTTCTCTTTTCCTTCTTCTACTCTGCAAAATAGAAAAGGAACTATCATTGAATAGGGTTTAAGGAAGCCAGGCAACTTTCAGAAAGAAATAGAGTACTTGAGTGTTCGGAATCGTGGTTATGATTGGGCACCAGATCCCAAGTGGAACATGTTTAATGTTTATAGGGTGGCAAGTGTGTCGTCCACATCCCAGGGGGTGAGCTGGGGGTGGGCTTGGAAGGACATTGGCAATTGTCAAGATGCCTATAAAGGTCTTTATACAATTCAGTGGCTTCCACCTCACAAGTGGTGCAGGCTGACCCTATCAAACGGGATGTCCAGATGCAAGGGTAGATGAAAAGCACGTAGAAAGTTTGTGAACTGGCAAAAGGGGGACACCTTGGATTTGCTTCCCCTTTCTACCTTCTAGGTGGCTTCTGAGACAGCAAAGAAACTTGGGTTCAATCCCCGCCTTGTATCCTGGGATTGACACCATCCTGTTGCGACTGCCACAGCTAAGCTTTGATTGCCAGGGGCTCTCTGACAAACCTTGCACTGACTGCAAACATCACAAGTATTCCTTCCCTCGGGCAGGCCTTTCATTAGGAATTGTCTCTTTTGCCACACTTTGCCCTGGTCCCTCCTGTGATCTGTTGCAAGCTGAAAACAGATATTAGACGAGTAACCTGAAAGTAACACCCCAAGGGACCAGGCCCAGTTACAGAAGCACAGGAAATCAGATCAGCACGCAGTACTATTCTGATGCATGTGGTGTTCCTCTTTTGGGGGAAATCGAGGAGGCAGGTGGACATTTTCCACATTTGTAACCACCAAAGTCATGAGTAAACCCAGCGCTGGGCCTTACTAAATATGATGATAAAAGCTCTTTTGTTCTGATTTTATCTATCTCCTTTGCTTACCCATTTTATAAGCACTTCTGGAAAAGGAGCCAATCTTTAGGAATTGTAGTCATTAAAATCTGCTCGTTAGCCTGCTTTCTAAGTCACAGAATTCCATTGTTAATGCAGTTTGAGCTTGAAAGAGAAAATAAATCGATGACATAAAGAATAATCAGAAAATTCTAGCATTTTGGGGTAAGCCTCTGATTTCCCTTTTGACCTTGCAGAAAATGCTGGCGAATCCTGGGCATTTCCTAGATGGCCAGCCTTGCACAGAGCGCTTCACTGCATTGTTTCCCTGAATTCTTACCAGAAGCCCACGAGGTCTCTGCTGCCTTTATATTTACTGATCCAAAACTGCAATTGTTCCAAAAGTTCATCAGCACAGCAAGCGTCGACTCCTCCTGTTTAAGAAAAATCTGAGAAATGCCTCTATCCTTCCCTCCCTTCAGCCCCACCCCATCCACCCCTTATAAGCTGAGGGGAACTTGTATCGTATGTAAGTATGGGATGAACCTGAGAAAAACCCTGAAGAAAGGTGACGTAAGTTGAAAATCTCCTGAAACTACAGCTTCAGTCTTGAGCTTTTGCACAGAAACAAAAACATCTGGAGGGAGGAAAAGGCAGCAGAGAGTGGCTAGGAAAAGGAAGACCCTCATGGGCAGTAAAGGTGGTCTCGAAACTGTTAATTTCAACACCACTAAGACTATCATTATTGTGATGCCCTTATCCTTATATCTAACTAATCTACCACTCCATATTAGAGGGACTTTCCTACTTTCCTTCTGGCACAGATGCAATTATTTAAAACCATAATGAAAGAGTTCCCTTAAGAACAGTAACATGTAAATACCTTGACCAAATCCAAACTATTTCCAAATTCTGTGTGTGTTTATGGGGAGGGGGGGCGGTGGGGGTAGGAGAGATGCACATTAGAAACTAGCAGCATTAATTCAAACTCCTTATTTCATTCAAAAAATCTGCTTTAAATGATTTCATTTACTACATCTATTATTTCATTGACAATAAATAACAATGTGCTCATACTTCCTGTTTTTATTGCCGTTTTCTTCTTGTTTTAGGACTTTGTTTTACTTTGACATAGTTCCGCTCAGGCACCAGATTCAATTTTGCGTCCTACTTTCTCCCCCTCAGCATTATATCTCAAGCACAGCATTTACTATGGTCTTAAATAAGATGCAAAGACAAGATTTTTAATGGCTATATAATATTTCATCTAGTAGGTGGTCCAGAGTTACCCCGATAGCTCATGTTTTGAGGTTGTTTCCAATGTTTTACTGGCAAATATGTTAGTGTGTGCAAACATTTTAATAACTAGGATTTTCTCTATGTTATAGTCCCAGAATTAAATAGGGTGCATAGTTGGAGGGATCTGAGGTTCTTTAACTTTTCAGTAATAGAAAGAAAGCTCTCTTTCAAGGTTTTCTTTTAGCAGAGGAGCTAAAACTGCGACTCTAGTGAACTCGTGTATCTGACCCACATCTTACTACTAGACGGAGTGGTTCCTGGCTTATTCAGAAACACTAAGGTAATAATCATAAAGAAAATTTAAAGTGAAAGAAGCACATTTCATATCTTGCGTTCAATACAAGCAAGTTTTCCAGAGGTAGAAAAGTTCTGATTTATCTCCATAGGTGTATAAATTTGGCTTGTGAATACATCTTAGGGAAGGTAGATGGAAATAGGAGGATGCAAAAACAGAGAGGGTGTATGAACACGTCTGTAATGATATAAAATTTATTCTGGGGGCGAGGTAAAACTTAATGGTTCGTAAATAGCAAATTCATTATATTTTTAATACTCGCATTATATTAACACCATATAACATCTTTATGGTACCGTCAGTAGCATTTAAATCCTTGACTCGACTTGAAAAACAAACATTTCCAAATCTTGACCATGAAATGATTAGCCAAATAAAATGTTTTAATAAATATTATTGGATTAGAACATGGTTGGTTGGCTCATAAACTGTCTTATAAATGTTTTATGTCATCTGTTACACTGCATTTTTAAATGTTAACAAATTAATTTATTTTAAAGGCCACATCAAGGTGAAAACACCTTGTTTTCACTGGCACATCAGGCAGCAGGACGATAGATCATGGAGCCATTTCTAATTCAGCACATCAGTGGCAGAAGAGATGTTAAGACATAAAATGTGGTATGGTTTGTTAAATATTCATTTATAATTTGCATTCATTATTAAATTATGTGTTGGGCTAATCTTTAATCTTAAAAATACATAGAGTGTCATAAAGCTCTCAGAAGACATAATAAATATTTTATTATTTAGTGTTACTTTGAGTGTTGACTAGAATGCACACAAATGTTTGTCTGTAATGATACTTAATTATTCCAAGGAGATGTGACGTGCGCTGGTATGAAGTTCAATAATTCACTCAAGCCTTCAGGTCACTAAGAGAAATATCAGTTTGGGGACACCATCTCTTCACAATTAACAATGATTCAACTGCTTGCTCCTCATGGTTCCACTGTCATTTCATTGCCTAAAACCGTTTCAACACAGGGTGGTGACTTTGAGGGGCTTATTTTTTTGGGGTCTCAACAACCATCACGATAAACTTCACTTTTAGTATAGAAGCTTGAGAGTTGACATTCTCAGAGATTCAGTCCTTTGAATAGACTATCCCAGAATATGGTATATTCCAGGCTAAGAATTCCCATGCTTGAATAGTCAACTATTTGATTAAGCTCCATAGCCGTGATATTCAATTTGCATTTACTAAACTGAAAAAGTACAGCCATGATGAGAAAGCTGGATGTGACGGAGTGGTGATTTGTATTATAGTCGCCTGGTAGCTGCCCAATGAACCATGTAAAAACAGTTCATTAAAATGTTTATGTGCTTGGCTGGTTAATGCAAAGAAAGCTTTATTGCAGGCTTATAAAACCTTGGTAACTTCAGGATGGAGCCAGATCAATGCATTGTAATAATGTAGGCATATGCTTCATCTCTCCAGGAGTGGAAAGAAGAATCCAGAAACTTCCTTTTCTTCCTCATTTCTATGACCACATATTTTCAGGTTTTTAAAGCTAATCTAGACCTAATTCCTTTTAGCTTTTTTTAAACTAGATAAAATTTTCCAAGTTCACTTGTAGACAATTTGTAATAATTTTTTTTTGCATTAAACCATGGAGTATTGTTTGTAGTAAAATCTAATCAACGAATATGTGATGACTGCAGTTTGTTTGGAAGTTAAACTTTTATGGAATCTCAACTATATTGAATATCCAAAAATAATCAGTATCAATTGGAAAACAGATATGTTAATTTATTTGTCTGCTTGTTTCTCCCATTTCCCTCAACACTTTTGGGGATCACAGACACATTTTAAGCCCATGAGGATATGACCGCGAGACTATAACTATGTGATCTTTAGAAAAATACTTAGGGGCTGGCCCGGTGGCTGAGTGGTTAAGTTTGTGCGCTCTGCTTCAGGGGCCCAGGGTTTCGCCAGTTCAGATCCTGGGCGCGGACACGGCACCACTCATCAAGCCATGCTGAGGCAGCGTCCCACCTGCCACAACTAGAAGGACCCACAACTAAAAATACACAACTATGTACCGGGCCGCTTTGGGAGAAAAAGGAAAAATAAAATCTTAAAAAAAAAATACTTCTGAACAATTGGGTCTATAACAAGAAATGATAAAAAAAAAAAAAACTTCCTTAAAACAAACAAAACACTCATTTTTAATAGAAAGTTGATCCATGTGGGCATTTACCTTCACAGGGTGGGCCAATCAGACTTATAGACGGAAAGGCATGTTTCCAACTCACCTACACAAAGTCTTCCAATAAAAATGGGTTATTCATTCGATTAGTATGTTGAAAAGTGCCTCAAAAACCAGCATGAGAAGAAAATATGCTTTCAGGAGCCAAGCCAAAGGTGTTAAAAATCATAAAATAGTATAATAGTAAGAAAGATATCTTTATATGTTTCCTCTCCTTCTCTCGCGGTGCACACCACTATTTATTATAACAGAGAAAGACACCATACAGTACATTGTCACAGTCAAAACCTATCTATTAAAATAGATACTTCTTGCACACAGCAGACGGTCTCAAAATATTCTTAATGTCCTGTGCATCAGCCAAACTATGGAATTTGAGAACCGCACCTTCATGTGCTTGTGAACATCAAAATCTACTCCCCCCCCACCTCCTGTGAATTGGAGGTTGCGTGGCTGCCTCTAATTGGCATTTGGAGCTATTTTTTCCTAATTCCTAGGTCTACTCCATGTAAGAGAGCGTTCTTTTGGGATCAGGTATTATATTATACAAAGATGAATTTGACTCCAACACATTATATCTATTCAGAAAGTATTAGTAATAAATCAAAGCCAGCACCTAGCATAATGCTTTACACATGGTAGACACTCAATATACACTTGTTGAATGAATGAATGTTGAAGGAGTGGACTTCTAAAATCTGCTTTGAAATGCAGTGGCTGGGTCCTCTTACCTGAGGATATGAGGCCAGGTAGAAGGAAGGGAAGGGAAGAATCCATGAAGTTAAATACATGAAGCCAAATATTGACCTGCTCTGGAGGTCTAGCCTAGTGTTCAGACGGACACAGAGCACCATTTAAAATATCCCTTAGCACACTGCTGGATGGACATCAGATAGTTTTCCTTCTCTATGCAGGTTTTTAAAGCAGACTTGGGTTGAGTTGGGTCTGAAGCCACACCAGTTCAAGACCATTTAATTGAGAATCTCTTCTTATCCTTTGAGATTGCACATCCCATCCACTTTCATATAAGATTAAGAGGCTGTAAGCAGTGATGTGGCCTCTGGTTGGTGATGACAGATGAGACACTTATGTGCACTGACCCACATCTTACACCAGCGCTACAGACGTCAGTGGCCACACCTGATTCGATGACTGTTGTGGCTTCAGATGAGACTCAAAGCAAGTCAAGAATCCATTGTTACCAGAATTGTTTGACTAACATCTGTGCGCGCGCGCGTGTGCAACTACGGCAATGTGAGTATAGTGAGAGAGGTGACAGCATAAGAGGGGAAAGAAGGTCCTAGATTTGAAACCCACCATACCCATGATTATGGCTTTCCAATTCCTAGGATGAAAAAAAGAACTTGGTTAAGTATAATTAAGCTTCTTCATCTTTTGCATCTTTCAAAAAAGCTGGGTAGGGTGCAGAGGGGAGGGTTTGCTCACCATGTGGGTCTCCTCAAGCCCTCTCAGATTTAATTGCAGGCGTAAATGACCCCCAGTCCTGCAGCATATCAACTTGATGTGTATAATTGATAGCCAAACATTTTTTACAGGCTGTTAAATGGTGAGGCCACAATGAAATGTATATAATGTTGATTAAAGTGATTTTTTTGTACAAAAGGGT